TGAAGGAGCAGCACCATGCAGGATCAGATTCTCCTTAACAGCTCAACAGCTGTTAAGATCCTGCCACCACTTGACTGTTTTTTTTAAAATAAGGTTTAAAAAACCCTTAGCCCCCCTCCCCCATTACTTTGGGGACAGATCCAGGGTGGAGTGGGCAGTACAGATGAATTGGCTCAATCTGGGAGCTATAGGGCAGATGGAGGGCAGTCCGTGCACAGCCCCTGTTTTTAGAATATTTGAAGGTGACTATAAGAAAACTGAATTGTGTAAGTGTTAAGTGAAGATAACTTATTTCAGTAACCCCCTTTGGGAAGCCTTACCTTGCAATGCTGTTAGTAAACTATGGAAGAAGAAAGAAAAGATTCTTGTGATTCAGTTTTGCTTAGAGCGCAGCTCTTTGTTTTTATTGTTTTTAAAAAAGGAAATAAAATTCTTGATCAGTGTTGGAAATATTTAACAAACTTCTTTTTTGAACACTTTGCACATCTTCTCTCCCCACCACTCTCAAGTATCAGCGAATCCATACAGATAGTTTGTCAAACTACAATCTCTCTTACCCTGGAGGAGGGTCTGTATCATCCAACCAGAAGTAATGTTATTACACAACAGTTGCCAATGTGTGGTAGATCACCTATGGGTTCATTATTTGGACACTTGATCTGAAAGCTCTTCCTCAAATTGCTTTGAAAGCGAAGTACATTTTCTGGATATATTTGAAGACATCAAAGTAGAAAAGCCGTTCTCTGCTTACTCCCTTCCATCAACGCCACCTCAGTTACCCACATGGTGGCAGTCTTTATATTTGGATTCTCCATCTGACTGACCCACTTCAGTTATCGGAAGGGTGAAAATGAGAGTGAAACATAAAGGGACTGGGAATTTTACTCAACTTTAGATCAATTCTTTTGGATGAAGCAAAGTGAGGCTTTTGTATTGTGCTCTTTTGCTTCATAATATTTTTTACTTTCTGGCTGCACTTTCAGGAGGGACATGAGTATCCTCATTTTGTCATTTATGCCCCAGTGTATGCTGGAAGCTCAAACTCAAGTCTGGTTTGTAACCTATTCACACAACCAACTTAGGTGTAAGCTGTTCGGTTTCTGTCACCAGCTGTGAGGTGGTTGCACGGGGATATCTTGGAAGAAGACCTGGCTTAAATTTCTGGCTTAAATTATTGAAACGAGTGGGAAGTTGTGTGTGGATTCTGAAATGAGAAGGGGAGTGGGGGAAAACAAAGCATAAGTCTTGTGTTGCATTCTGTGCAACTGCCTTGTTCCTTCTCTGCTCCCTGAAAAACAAGGCCTAGCCATAAAGAGAGAGTAGCCAAGCAATGCTGAGGATTCCCCTGAGAAGAGCTGGAAGGCGATTCTACTGCTTGCCTGTTGCAGCTGTCATCCAACCGGAGCCTCCCATAAAAAATCTGGTTCATGAGCTGCTGTGAAAACCAACGCTTTAAAAACTCTGAATTCAGTGATACTTAGTAATAATCCTTCTGTTTTTATGTAGATTTCATATCTAGATTTATAGTTCCTTATTTCTTTGATAGTGTTTATATGGTTTTGTCATGGCCTTTGTCTAGTACAATAAAGCTTATCTACATCTAGTAATAATCCAAAGGCTCAAGCAGCAACACACAAAACCAGCTAGGGCCTATGGACACTTTGTTCTTTGAAAAGACACTGTAAACTGTTTCACGAGTCAGAGGAAGTGAATCATCCCAGGGACAAGGGTGAATGTTCACAATAGTCTTAGGGTTCTATATGGATAGATTTGAGAGTAAGAGCAAAAGTTCTTACTGCGTTTCTGTTAGGGAACGGAAATGCCTGCACCTGCCATTTTCAGAGGACTGAATGGTTCCATTGTCACCCACCTGAATCACACTTGAAAGCTGCAGCATTAAGAGAAGACTTCCAAGTCTGAGTAAGACTAGCTAATTAATTCCCAAAAGAGAGTTTTCATACCACCTCAACGACTTTTCAAAGTGGCCCCTACCTTCGGCTGCTATACAAGTGAAGATGAATCAAGGAATGTAGATGCATGTGTAAATACATCCGCACACATCTTCAGCCTTTTTCGGCCCAGGACTCGCTTTTTTACTGTATCCTGTGACACTCTCAATCTTTGGCCCCATATGTATGCATGTTCAAACTGCGTCATTAGCTGTAAAGGAGAAAGAATTCTTGCAGAAGAGGGAAGGAGGTGTGGCATCTGCAACTATATTGGTATTAAAGGTTAAATAGTTTTGCCTTCCTTTGCATTTGGTCTCTCCAAGTCTTTCTGTTTTCCCTTTTCCTCTCCACTTAAAACCAAAAGGGTGCTGAGGTCCCTGCTGTGAGATCCAGCAGCTAAAGCCCATTGCCTTTGAAAGTCTATCACCCTTGGGGGATTCCTGTCCCTTTGCCAAAGGAGAATGAGCACCTTGGAGAGCTGTCCCAGTCCCCACTCTTGCCAGGAAGGTATGCACAGACCTTCACAATACATTGCAAATCACAATACATTGCATATTGTGGAACCTCAGGGCTGAGGGCCAAATGTGGCCCTCCAGGCCTCTATAGCTGCCCCTCTCCAGGTCAAACCCTTCACTTTCTCCACTCCATCCCCTCCTTGAGTTCTTTTGCTTGGCTGGAGTAGGTATTGTGTCCATTTCACAGACAAATAAGTCTGGGACCTAGGGTATTTTCTGGGTAAAGCCTCCTGCAGCTGCTGTTAGCTTCTATGAGCCACACTTCCCAAAATAGGACTTGAAAGCACTCTTCAAATAAAGGCTGTGCTGGTGGGGGGGAGGGACTGGCACCAGAACTCTTCCAATGACGGACGCACAAAGAAGAGCTTGCTAGATCAGGACAGTGGCCCGTCAAGTGCACCATCCCATTATCACAATGCCCAATGGGAAGTCCACAAGCAGGACTGTGCTAACAGCCCTCCCCCATCCTCCAGCTTCCCAACAGTGGAGGAAGGTAGCCTTATCCTCCACAAATTTATCTAAACCTATTTGAATACCACTTGAAGAGCTGGAGAGGAGGCAGAACTTGGCAAAGCCAAGAGAGAAAGCTGCTTTTGCTGCTTTAAAAGGATACCCTTGGCCCACCATAAGGGGCACTATAAAGGGACACACCCACCTATAATGCCCTAATGCATAGTAAAATCACTGTTCCTGGGACTGCCAGGGGCACGGGATGGAATGATACCTAATCTGCAGTCCTATGCACACATACTTGGGAGGCAAATCCCATGAAATTTAGCATGGTTACTGCTGAGTATGCACAGGATGCAACTGCACAATTACACTTTCTTAGCGCACTAAGAAATCCAATTTTCAAGATCCTTGTCAGGTTGCAAGGCGGGGAGGGAGGTCGGCGGCATTTTCTGTTTTGCCTCAGGCGGCAAAACCTCTTGGGCTGGTCCTGGGCTAGATGCCTACATTATAGTTGAAATCCACTGTAGTCAGGCATATTGAAGCCCACTGAAATCAACGGATTTACATATATAACTCGTGTGCCTCAACAAGTGAGGCCTTGACCTGCACCTGTTCAGAGCGTCAGCCAGCCATGCCCTGTTCCTATGTACCCCATTCCGTTTCACCTCCTTTTTAGTTTTCTCTCTGCTCAACAGACACCAGAAAAGTGCACTAGGACAACGTAAACACCATACATTTAAAGCGCACCCCCCAAAAAAAAGAATCCTAGGAACCGTACTTTATTCTTCAAAGAACTACAATTCCAGCACCCTTAACGAACTCTAGTTCCCATGATTCCAAGCCCCCCCCCCGCTTTTTTGGAGGGGAAATGTGCTTTAAATGAATGTTGTGTATGCAACCTTAAGTTAACCCCGTGTCATCCTCCAGAAGCCGGAAGGTGCCTCTTTAATGCAGGGAACGTCCTGTCTTCATGTGAAGTCACAGTACTACCTTGCAGGGTGAGGTCCACAAGGAAAGGAGGCTCCCCACTTCAGAAAGTCACCCTCCAACTTGTGAGGGGAGGAGATAGCAACAGGGGGGAGAGTTATTGCACTTGTCCCTGCTGCTTCCCCCTTGGGTGCTTGAAGAGGGCAATTGGTACTCACTAAAAGTGGCTGACCACCCACCCTAGGTATCCTCGGAGGCCCCAGTTTGAGGGGGGTTTGTTTGAGGACTCTATAAAATATCCCAGGATATGTCTATCATACACATATACTTGCTCAAAAGGAAAACCAGTGAGGGAACATAATATATATATTTACAATAAAACGACTGTAGAATCAGAAGGTGAGAGAGAAAGAGCCTCAGTGGTACAGACAAACATTCTCTTTATTAAGCTACACATGAATTTTTTTTCCATTAGTCAGAGAAAGAAATTGGCAGTGTCTAATAAGATCACAGAAACCTCACCGATTGGTAATAGAAAGGCTTAGAAAGACCTGGCGCTTTTAGAATGAATATATATATATATATATATATATATATATATATATGCTTGTGTGTGTGTGTGCATGTGTGTGATTGAGATATATATATATATATATATATATATATATATATGAATTTCTCTTTATTTTAGTCTGTTTTTTAGACAGGTGCAGTTGGCTTTTTCCAGCAAAGGTACCTCTTAAAAGTGAAACCGTGAAGACATCTGATCGCTAACCAAAAAGTAGATATGACAAAGGGTCATGAAAATGGTGGCTTTTTAAATAATGTAAACACTACATTCGAATTTTGTTTTTGTTTTACTTTTTTTGGTGGTTTTTTTCTGGTGTATTTTTTTATTTTTTTAAGAGATTATTTTATTTTTTTCTTTGTTTTTTGTATTTTTTCCCCTTTTGTTTTTGCAGCACAAACACCCCCACATGAGAGAAAGAGAGAAAACACCATTCACTAAAAGGAAGGATTGTAAGGGCAAGGGTGCGAGGGAGGAAGAGGAAGCAGCATGAAAAAAAAAGTATTCACAGGGAAGCATGGTGGGGGATTAAAAATGAGAATGGAACAACAAAAATAATGCCCTCTCAATTTAAACTAACCCACTTAAAAAAAAAAATTAAACAGAAAAAGGAAAGGACATTGGTAATGCATAACACAGTGTCATTCAGAAGGGAAAAAAGTCAAAGACAAGAGCATTTAGGGAGGCCAAAGACAGCTGTGCTTATTATTATTATTTTTAAAAATACAAATCCAGAGAGTGAACGAGACAATTCAGAACAGTGAATCATTATTAAACGAGAAAGTTAAAGAGACATCCCTCTCTGCTTGCCTGGCCCACTCTGAAGGCAGGTGTGTCGGATCATCGTGTAGACAAGAGGCTTTTGGGGAGAGAACGCTTTCCTGGAGCGGGCAACAATTAGTACAGCAACGATTAAAATACAAAGAGCCACTAACAATTCCCACTGGGATTCTGTTGCTGACAATCTTTTTGCACCTAAATGTTACCACCTACAAGGTCATGGCTAAGGTGAGTGAGATGCAAGGGCAAAGGAAGGGACTTGCCTCCATTATCCCATCCCCCCTGAGCAAAAAGCAGCACCTGTAATAGTAGAACGGGAGAGGGAAACTGGGAGGCCCATAACTCCTCCGTTTTATTTTATTTTTTATTTTGCTGCATTTCCCACAGATGTAGGGTGCCTTGTTGGCTCGGCAAGCCATTCCTGAACTTTCTTGGCTGATCCCCAATAGCTGGCAACCCTCTATATGAAAGGTCGTTGGGGTCTGCGTCTTAATGGCCATTAGAATCTGCCAAGATTTAAGATGGCGGTTTGTATGGGTCAGACTTCTGCTTGCTCAAAGGTTTCACCCTACCAGTGCCAACAAGCAACCGGAACCAAGTCCAATAGAAAATGTCTCTCTTAGAATGGGTTCACAATGCCATTGTGTGTGTGTGTGTGTGTGTGTGTATTTATAGATCTCTGTGTTTTGTGTGTGTGTTTTAAATAAAGCAAGAGGGGAATCGGGGGTAGGGAGAGACCTTTCTGTTCTTTCCTTTCTGAACAAAATCCGTAAGGAAGTCAAATCTTTAATTTCTCTTCTTTACCCTTTCATCATCATCATTAAAAAATTCTCTTTTTGTTTGTCTTAGGTTCTAAATGTAAAGACTAGTCTAAAACCAGGTTTTACACAGCAAACCTACAGAAGTGCACAGCCACCATTCCAAAAATTCAGGACATCAGACACCGAGGCGATATGGAAGGCTGCGTGTCTTTATATAAAGGCTCAAAGTTCATGCTACTAGTGAAGAGGATCCGCGCTGGAGAATCAGAAATGGAGAGTTGGGGGAGGGAGGGCCCACAGGAGGCCTGGTCTGAACATAAATATTGGGTGGATGGGAGCACGGAGACCCAGAATCAAATATATTAGAAAAGGAGTAATCATCCAAATAAAAGCTGTACTTAAATTGCGATAAAGGATGGGGGATGTTCTCCCCACCATCTCTCCTACATAAAGAGCTTGAGCACGGACTGTTTGTGAGAGAGGGGGAATTCTTCCACCTGACCTGCGGGGCGTAGGAGGGATGCTATCTCAGGTACAACTTTCAAATTGCTGATAGAAATTCCCTTTGCCAGTCTCCCATGCTGGTTTAAAGAAGCAGAGACAGAAGCAGCCCCTTTCTTTATACTCCTGAAGGATTATATATATAAACATGGTCAACGAAGGGTGCTGGCCTGTCACCTCTATTCTAACCCTATTCTGTTTCTTTCTCCCTGCAAGCTCCCCCTCAATTTCCCCCCTTTTAATAGGTTTTAACTACTCCATAGCTGAACGGAACTGAGGATCCCTGAAAGCTCAGCGGCCCTGTGGCAAATGATGCATTGCAGCAGCAACTTAGATGGTGGTAAATCTTTTTTAAAAATCCACAGGAACTGGGCAGGGGAAGCCATCCTTCCCCGCTCATACCCTAAAGCACCCTATGCACAAAGGAGTCTTAAAAAAATAATATTACCACTTTTTTCTTTTCTTTTTTTAAGAAAGTTGATTCCTTTTAAAACTCACGTAGTATCTTATGCTATGTGGACGGCGAGTTTAGAAAAATTCAGAGTATGGTCTTTTTTCTTTCTTGTTGTTTTCCAAAAGCATCTTTTGCAATGAATTACCTGCCATGACTACTGCAATCCGATGCATGTCTACTCAGAGGTAAGTCCTGCTGCTTTCAATGGGGGCTTACTCCCAAGTCAACAGGTATAGGCTTGCAGGCAACGTTACTTTAGCAGAAAGGAAGGATTTTAAGGTGATGTCAGGGGCATCAGTGCTACCCAGTACTCTTCTGAGGCAAACTAAAATAAATAAATAAAAGGAAAAGGAAAAATGTTTTTATATAAAAATTTTCATTATGCCTTTTTATTTACCAACTTGCATGATTCATCATCATTATTAATATTATTATTATTATTGTGTTTGTGTTTGCATGTGTGTGTGTGAGAGAGACTCATATTTTGTTTTGCCTTTTTTTTTCAAATATTTTATTTTATTTTCCTCTCGCTGTGATTGTTTCCAAATAAGTTGCTTGCTATACAGGATGGGATGGAGAAAAGGGAGAGGGGTCAGTATAAGCCGCAGCCTCGGAGGTTGTTGGCAATGATGATGTCGGTGACGGCATCGAATACCACCTGGATGTTACCCGTGTCTGTCGCACATGTCATGTGACAGTAAATCTCCTTGTTGGGCGAGCGGTTTTTGCTTTCAAATTGTGCTTGGATATAGGCTGCAGCATCTTCATATGTGTTGGGACCTGCATAGAGAGGGAGGGAGGGGTAGGAGACATTTAAAAAAATAACGTTATAAAAATAAAAATACAAAACTCAGCACAAGTTTAGATGGTAGCTATAAAATAAGAACAGTAGAAGAGCCTCACTATTCAATCAGGTCAAATGCTTATCAAGTCCAGCATCCTGTTCTCACAGTGGCCAACCAGATGGAAAGCCTGCAAGCAGGACTTCTCAATGGACTGCAAGCAAAATTTATTCACGGGAATGATGACTACCAACCAAACATACTCCTCTGTGCATACGGATCTTAGAACTTCGGAAACGGCCTCAAAAAGGTCAGATCTCATAGTGGTCGACCGGATGCCTGAGGGAACTCATGAGTGAGCCCTCTCCTCACTGGTATTCTAGAAGTAGGATTCGTAAGGATGTGGGAAATAAAGTTATTGGGAATGTGATCTGATGCTAATCTGGGAATTGGGCTCTGAATATAATGAGCTATTTTCCTGAAAGCAGCTTTGTTTGCCAAATCCGGTTCCAGATCAATCTGAGGTGAGTCCACTAAATTAGGTGGATCTGAACCATTTCTCCCGAATCTGAATGCATATTTGAAACACCCACCCACCCCCCTAGTATGTGTTAAGGCTCAATGATCACTCATTTTCTTGACATGCTAGTTTTTAAAAATATATATTAATAATACTGGGAGTGTTTGCATGTTGGGGAGGGGGGCTTTCAAACATGCAACCCCCTCCCCACCTGCCCTGTGAAATGGCACAGCCTGGCAGAAGCTGCCTTGTGTGATTAGTCTGATGCTTTTTTCCTGCTCATAGACGGACACTTCCTTCCCACTGATGAGAATCTGCCAACTCTCTGTGACATCATGGTAGCTCAGCTGATGCCTCGGGCAGAAAACAGGAAGGCAATCAGCCAGAGTATGTAGTCTGTTTTCTAGGGGAGTTATCTCTCAGGCAGGACTGGATCAAATATCTCCTGGTTTACACTTGGGGTTTCAGCAGACTCTGCTCCATGGGTCAGTCTGTTGTTTGCTCCACAGCTGGATCTTGAGCACCTCAGGCGCTGCCATTACATACCTGTATATTCAGGGAAGCAGATGGTCAGAGGTGATTTCTTGATCTTCTCACCAAACAGGTCTTTCTTGTTGAGGAAGAGAATGATGGAGGTGTCAATGAAGAATTTGTTGTTACAGATGGAATCGAAGAGCATTAGAGACTCATGCATGCGGTTCTATGGCAAGGCACATATAGGAAGAGAAGAAAAGAAAGACAAAGAACGAGAGAGAGAGAGAGAAACAGAGAGAAAGAAACAGAAAGTTAGGATTAGAGAAAGAGAATAGTTACCAAACCAGAAACTGAGAAATGATCAAAGATCCACGTGTACCGAAAACCCAAAGAGTTACATATCATGAAGAAGTGAAGTCAAGAAAATGGGTGGTGTTATGATGTCTTCAGCACCTATTCTCCACCTAGCTTTTCTGTGTCATTTAGACAAAGCTCTCCTGGAAAGATATGCCCATGAGAATTACAGAGAAACAACAGTTGCCATATCTGTCAATTAGGATCAGCTTAAAAAAAAGCCTTTCCCAACCTGCTGCCCTCCAGATGCTTTGGGCCACAATAGCCATCAGTCCCAGCCAAGATGGCTGCATGATGTTCGGGCTGATAGGAATTTTGTAGTCCAAAACACCAGACCCTCCAAGTGTCCCTGTTGTCCAGGAACAGTACCGTATTTACAGAAGGCATCCCACTTTTCCTTAGGACATCCCTATTTTCAGCGGAGAAATGTTGGAGGGCATGACACACCTGTAGGGCAAGTAGGCCGGCCAGAGAAGGCTGAGCGAAAACATCTCAGAGCAATGAGCTCTTAGAACCCTTTATGATGGTTGGTTGTTAAAGAAACAAACCAAAAGGGCTGAGCCTTAGGTGGAGAGGACAGAGAAAAGATATTGCTGAGGTACATGGGAAAATGTCCCGTTAGATTCTGACTTGTTTACAAGGAGATTAGATGTTGTTGGCTATTTAATGAGCATTCAGTCTGATTTGTTTTCAGGGAGGTTAGATGGGAGTGTGTCAAAGGAAGGGTTATCAGTACACTTTCCAAGGCACTTCACCATCCTTTTCCTTATTGCAAAAACCCACTCTTTGGGGGAAGCAGGTTTGTTGTACAAAACAACCCAATCAGCTATAATGAAAGAAAACTGAATTTGCCAGTGTGTGATTGGATCCCACCTGAAAGCAGGGACAGTCTGGAAACATCAGACTTGCTCAACATGGTGTGCAGGAGGTGTTGCACAGAAATCATTAAAACTTAGGTTAGGACAGTTTTCAGGTTGCTCCAAGAGCTACTGGTCCAAAGAAATACAAAAGTCATTATCTGGATCTATGTCTAGCGCTAATCATTCTATAAACAGATACAGCCCCAAACAGGCCTCATTTATTTGAGGGACTGATACCTTGCCTTTCAAGAAAGCTATTTCCAACCAGTATCTTCTCTAACAATTTGACTTTTCTTACTCCCAGACTCTTATGAGACATATACCTTTATTTAGAATATTTCTAGGCTTTCTTTTTAGGATATAATCCTCACAAGCCAGTTTATAATCAGAATCAAAATACTTTAAAGCATAAAAGTATTTTATAACTTTTTATACATTTTTATACAGTGGTGCCACGCAAGACGAAATTAATTCGTTCCACAAGTTTTTTCTTCTTGCGAGTTTTTCGTCTTGCGAAGCACGGTTTCCCATAGGAATGCATTGAAAATCAATCAATGCGTTCCTATGGAAACCGCCTTCAGACCAGGTCCGGGGACAGTCTGTCCCCCGACCTCTTCTGAAGGCTGGGGGGGGGGGACAAGGGCTTTTCTTCCCACCCCCAGCATTTTTAAAAACCGCTGCCGCCCGCCAGCATTTTAAAAAACCCCGGGACAGCGGAGACTTCTCTGCTGTCCCAGGGCGATTTAAAAGCCCCCGGGAAGGCAGGCAGGGGGGAGCAAAGACTTTTGCCCCCCGCCGGCCTTCAGAAGAGGTCCTGGACCTCTTCTGAAGGCCGGCGGGGGCCGAAAGTCTTTGCTCCCCCCCCCGCCTGCCTTCAAAAGCCGTCCGGGATAGCGGAGAAACGAAGGCTGGCGGCGGGAGGAGGTCTCTCCGCCCCGCCGCCAGCCTTCGGAGGAGGTCCGAGGACAGTGGGGAAGACACGCTGCGCTTCCCCGCTGTCCCGGAGATTTCCCTATGGGCTTTCGTCTTGCGAAGGAAGCCCATAGGGAAATTCGTTTTGCGAAGCGCCTCCAAAACGGAAAACCCTTTCGTCTAGCGGGTTTTCCGTCTTGCGAGGCGTTCGTCTTGCGGGGCACCACTGTACTTTATAATGGTATAAAAATGTATAAAAAATTATAAAATAGCATCTTAAAAAGAGTATAAACCATTTTAAAAATGGTCCATAGCTTTCAGGAATTTCACACACAAAAATTAACCACTGAAATCTTCCCCAATCTGGTGCCCTCCCTAGGTTTTGGACTACCACGTCCACCAGCCGAAGTCAGCTGATGGAGTTGTAATTCAAAAGATACAGAGGGCACCAGATTAGGAAATGCTGCTCTTTGAAATACATGAGCTTTTAAAAGCCTTCTGAAGATCTTTATAGCAAGGATCAAAAGTGCATTTTGCTGGAGGCCCAGTTATGGAGCTCCCTTCGAGTTCCAGTACATAGCACTGAAGATGATCAGTATTGACATCTCAAAAAACCACAGCAGCACAGAGTCTCCACCTGACTTTCCCCATCCAAGCCTTAGTGTCAACACTTGCATATCTCCCAAAAAGATGATGCAGATTGGCATAAAACATGCACGTCCAAAGCGAGATAAATGTTCTTATATGGTCACAGACCCAGCATAAATAAATTAATACACCAAAATAATACAATTTCCAACACACACTGAGTTAAGAAATATGATACTTAGAACCAAACAAAGACAAAATTAAATCAACAAAACCCCTTTATGGTCTTTGCAGCAGAAAGTAGAAACCCATCAACTGTTTCCAATATTATCTTGTTCATGTCAGTTAATAAGTAAGTTATGTACCATCCAAAAGTCCTTCTTGAGTTTCCCATTTTTTCGTATTCTTTTTCAGGGCACTTGAGAGAGTCTTTAGACTTTCTTTATTGTTTGGATGAATGAAGGGTTGAGCTTAATTTATTGTTACAAGATGGCCATGGGTGCTGTTTGTCCCCCTTCCCACCATTTCCACAAAACATTTCCTGAGTGCTTCACAGCTTTCCTGGCTGCCTGCACTTCCTGATTTAGAAAAGCTCTGGGGGGAAAGTTATGCTATCTCCCTGGAGCATTAACTGAAACATTTGATGACAGGAAAGATGGCTAACAAGTAGAAACAGGGAAGAAATTTGATTAACTTCACATTTAGAGGTGAACCTATTCACTTTCTGAAATAACACACAAACCAAAATAGAGCCAATCTTCAAAATGGACACTTCTCTGAATTCTACAATGCAGTTCTCCAGCCAAGTAAGGACACTTCCCAAAATTAACATACCCTGTTATTAGTGCTGGGGAAGGAGAGGGCATATACTAGGCCAGAGGAGAAGCGGTCACATACTGCTGGAGTGAGAGTCCTTTATAGCATGGAACTGTGCTCTTCTTGGGTGGGTGATGGAGGGTGAATACTTGTCCCAGGTAACAACTGAGGGTGGGTTAAGCCTGATCTTGTTGTACAGCAGGTATCTCCCAGTTTGATGTTTCTTGGCATTGACTGATAGAAAACCTGTTAGTTTTGAATAGCTGGCTGTGTGAGAGTATACTTGTCTCTGGTATGCGTCTGGGAAATGAGGGGGTGGGTAGGAATGGGGTGCCTATTTCCAACCCAGTGATCATGGGGAACAGGGCTTACCCTCTGCCTGCCACCTCTTGTGGGGTGGACATTTGCTTTAAGCCCTGTAGCCATAAGAGAAGCCTTGTTGAATCAGATGAAAGGGATATTGTTCTTGGAATTTCAGAACATAAGAAGAGCCCTACTAGATCAGGCCTAAGGTGTATCGAATCAAGCAATCTGTTCTCACAGTGGCCAACCAGATGCCTCTGGGAAGCCTGCAAGCAGGACAGGAGTGCAGCAGCACTCTTCTTCACCTGTAATTCCTGGCAAGTGGTTTTCAGAGCCACTGATAACCTTATCCATCATGAATTTGTCTAATCCCCTTTTAAAGTCAAGCAAGTTAGTGGCCATCGCTATCTCTTGCGGGAGCAAATTCCATAGTTTAGCGACGGAGAACACTTCCTTTTGTCTGTCCTGAATCCTTTCTGCAACTATACTATGCAGAATTCTATCTGCCTCTATCTGCCTTCTATCACATGTTCCCAAAGAGACAGGACAGACTTTCATCGTTTTCCTAAACTAAGCTGGCACCAACACCTTCTAGTGCACAGCAGATGGAAAAAGAAGTCTGCAAATCACATGGCTACCCTAAAGTTAGTCTTTGCTGGCTCTCAAAGAGGCATTGCCCTCAAGGGAAGCATGTCTGTGTCAGGGTTGAGCCCAAGAGAGAGTTTTAAAGGGGCCTCTTTGACCTCCTCTTCCTTTGAACAGCTGGGCCATTTGGCTTCCCTACTGCATCGCAATTAAACATCCCTGCATTAATTGGAAGAAGAGTACATTGCAACAGTTCTGGCTATTAAAACCTGCCGAAAGTCAAACGCAGACCACCTCATAAAACAATTTGCCAAGTTAGAACCAGGAAATGGGATTCAGATAGTGTACTGGGAATTGACTGTCCAGAAACCCCATAAATGACACTTGTTACACAGAGAATTTCCTGCTTTCCTGCTTTGTTTTGAGTGCCACCATGTATTAATGGCTGGGGATCTTATGTAGGAAAAGAGCTTGTTACAGAAGCAGGTTGGCCGACTGGTGACTGCATCTTGTGTAAGATAATGACTTTCAGGCACAAAGCAATCTCCCCATTGGAAGAATGGTTTGCGATGGTGCGATGACGAGAATATGGCAGAAAAGGGGGAAGCCTTGCAGGCCTTTACATGAGCAGGATTTAGGTATGTAGAGCTTGTCTACAGAAGTCTCTTCAACATGAGGCCCTCTAGATATTTTGGGCTACAACTCCCATTAGTCCCAGTCAGTGTTGCCCATCAGCCACCATCCAGTAATTAATCTAATCCAGGGATAGCCAACATGGAGCTGCCCAAACGTTGCTGGACCATCCCTG